AACGTGGAGAACTACGACACTTAACTTAAGAACAAATTGACCAGAACCACTATGGTGTAATTTTTGTTCACAATTTGCCCAGAAAAGTTAATAGATCATAATAAAACTATGATAATAGATAGTTTTTCTCGTTTTTTTGAAAACAAAATATGAACAGAATAAACGTTTATGAAATTAAGCAGATTACAGTAGGACAACAAAATTGAGTAACTGTAACTCCAAAAAACAAATTTTTCCTCGATAGCTGTTTGAAATTTTTCCTGAAAAGTTGTTTTGTAGAAAATGAAATTTCAGTTTTTAATTCATATTTATTTAAATTTAACATTAGAAGATTTTCAGACATTGTGCTGCTTTGAATATTTGTTGGTTTGTATGAAAATCTCGATTGGCAATTGTTTTTGCTGGACCACTGGTCAAAAAATGAACCTTAATTGAAGTTTTTTTCTGTATATCTTTAGAACAACTTTCCCGATTCCAATTGCACAACAAATTACTATAAAGAAGTCCAAGTTGTTTTTCTCTCTGTCTTTATTAATTAAAAGTTATCAGCTTTAATTCGCTTTTTCTAGATTTTCAGTTTTTATTGGTTTTATCCAGGAAAAAATTGTATCATATTTGAGTAAAGCGTTGAATTTTACGAATTTTTTTTCTAGATCCTAGAAAACATAATCAGAGAGCTCCTTTGTTTATTATTTGTATTTTTTGCTGTTTGGTAGCAATCTTCCAGATTGATCTCTCAGATTAAATCAGTACTGGTTCAGTAGGAACCTGGGAAACTAGACGAAAAGAAATTTAGATGTGACCAACAAACTCGAATTTAGACGTCGATGTAAAGTTAGAAATATGGGAAATTAGACGTAATTGTATTGTTCGTGTATAAAATTTATTTACTGACTACAATTTACTTTCGTTCGAACTTTACATGCAAACCAAGGTTTAAATGCAAATCAAGTTTTCACATACCACAATTTTCACATTCCGCATTTTTCACATGCCGCGATTGTATAATTTATGCATTTCAAAGTTTGTTAAAGACTGAAAATCTAGAAAAGGTGAATTAAAGCTGATAACTTTTCAAATAATATTGAGATTAACGTTTTACAAATCAATTTTGATGAATAGCTTGATATGCAGTTGAATCATATGCTGTTTTTGTAATTATGAAAACTTGTTTTAGGGAATAAGTTTTGAAGTTTTGTTAGCCCTTTGCATTCCGTCTACAATGCTATTTTTGCAAAAACAATTTAACGTCTAATTTCGTTTTTGTTGGTCAGGTCGCCTTTGCTTAGCGTCTAATTTCCTAACCCCCGATTCAGTAGTATTATAGCCACCCGGGTTGATAACCATAAAGCTAAAGGCTTGTCATACAATTTCATTTACGGCGCCTGTAGAAAAAAATGATTTTCATCTAATTTTCATACAAATGTAAGTAATTGCTCTAAAGACTTATAATAGATTTTTTTCTATTCAACGCTTTTGAAGAATTATTGTCAATAAAAGTCAACATCAAAGATACAATCAAATCTAATATCTACTGTGCGCAAACCCTTATTTTGCTACCTCGGTGTCACCACCGCTTAGTCTATTTATTGTTTTGTGGAACATATTGCAGATCGCATAGATTAGTTTTGATGAACATAAGACTTAACATATAAGTGAAAAGCAGAAATTCTACACTGTTTTTTCTCACTTTACGCTGGCATCATGGATGATGAACTCTTCCTGATCAGATAGAAACCCTGTTTCAGATAATCTGATTCAGATCTAAATTAGAGATCTGAAATAGGTTATGAAATGTTGAAATAACGCTTGAATACTTTAGGAATGGGTTTTTCAAATCTAAATTTTTGTTTTTCATGGCCATGTCAGATCTGAAAAAAATACATTTTAGATCTGAAAAAGCAATGGTTGTGACGTAGTTTTTGCTATTCTTCTGGTTTTTATAGCTTCTGCTAGCTGCTAGCTGGTACTCAGCAAAGTCTCCTTTTGGAGACTGCTGAAGTATTTTTTTTTACAAAAGGATGAGTTAAACATCGGAAACGCATAAGTAGTGCACAAGTAGTGCATAAGTAGTGCAAAAGTAGTGCATAAGTAGCGCACAAGTATTGCATAAGTATTGCATAAGTAGTGCATAAATAGTGCAAGTTTTTTCAAATTTTGAAATATTTGTTTCTGTAAATCAAAAATTTTATTCATTAAAATATATTTCAAAAAATTGCGCCAAATTGGAATATAACTTTGCTATTTCAGTAAATCAAGTTCAATGCGTTTGCTGGAATTAAAAAAAAATTGAGTTTTTTTTTCAAATGCCAGGTGTATAGTCCTGATCACTATAAGTTTTCACTTATCCAAACGGCAAAAGTATTTAAAGCATGATTAAGTTATGTTTTGAGAACCAAACCAGTGTTTAAATATTTGTTTGAAATATGTGAAAGTTAAAAGGCAATCACGACCAGCGCGACCAGCTCTTAAAAATTCGATTATCTTTAATCCACATCACTCTGTCTACTTGTTTTACAATTCCTTTTGCTGACTTTGAAGTTAATATATTTTTTTTCATAGGCTTGAAAATTTAGTTTCTGACCTTATTTGAGACTCCAGCAAACTTATAATAGTATATTAGTCACATTTTCTTTGCAAATTCCGCCAAAATTCTGTGTTCTATAACTTTTAAACCATGTTCACCTATATGTCACTACATTTTTTGCCTTTTTTGGTTTTTTTGCCACAAGTTTGAGCCTTGTTGATTTGTGAACTAATAGCACCTTTAGAGTTTTGGCTTGCCAATTCAGTAGTTTTCTCCTTGTTTGAATTGTTCTCCGTATCACTGACTGGAAGATGCAATTGAGCCGAATTTGAGGTTTGGGAGTTGTTCAATGAGCATTCTGCTTTGTAGTCTTGGACTGTCATTGGAGCTAAAACTTCTATGAACTGTTCCAAAGAGCAGAGAGTTCCACAACCAGGGACGTCCAAAGTGTAGAAATCTTCGACATAGGTGCTGTTTTTGAAGAGAGTTCGCACGAAGAAGTTGTTCGGCTGCTCGCTCACACTCTCGTACAGTTCAAACACGAGAGCGGCCGCCCAGCCGGGTGTTTTTTCAAGCTGCACATTCATGGACTTTGTGAGGGACATGAGGGAACTTGTATGGCCAAAAAGCATGGTCATTTTCTGACGAGTGTCTTTTTGCTTGCCGTATGCCTGAAATTATGAACAGAATGATTTTGGTTTAACAAAAAATGAAGAACACGATACGTTTATAGTATCATGTCTTCGTTTTCCTATTTGATAAATATTTAAAGCTGTTTTTGGGCAATGCTCTAAAAATTTAGTGTTAGAATCAGTCTTACACTTTAAACAAACTGATTCTTTTTCAAATGGTTTATTTGCTCTGTTAACAGGCGTTGTGGCCTAATCATTTAAAACCTACCGCAAAAAGACACGGCGAACTGTCAACAACAGCCATTTGTGATGGAAACTTGTTTTTATGTTTTAATTGTAATTTTACTCAAGTGGTTGATTCAACTAGTTTCTTTTTTTTTTTTTACAAAAAAGAACTTGTTTTGCGCATATCTGGCAATCAGGTGATCCATCTGTTGTCGTTTTTGTTACATTTTGTCTATTAAATAGTTTGTTGTTTTGTGATGCTCTCAAACAGAGAAATGAATGTCTATTCTTATACTTCTTAAACTCAAAAACTTGAAAAATACTCAACGCAAGAGAGTTTTTCAGAGAACTTAAATAAAATTTGAAAAATTGCTCAATTCTGATTAGTTCCATTGAGTCGTTGATCCGCTTTTTTGTAACAAGTAACTGTTTTTCAGTGGGCTAATGAAATGATATAAACACAAAACTTACTATAAAAAATACAAACAACCTGGTTAAAGTTTTCCTCCTTACCTCAGCATTTAATTTGGGCTGCAACTGCTTAGCGATAAGCGTAACATTTTTTATTGGTAAAACCAACGTTCTTTCCCCCTCCCCCCAAAAAATGTTGTTCAGGGAGAGGATGCTAAGTTGGATCAATATGTTGCACCTTTTCATGTAGGGTGTTGAGTACAATGTGCAGAGTGGGTCCCCCCGTCAGCCGTCTCTGCTCCCTCTCTGCGAACACTATGTCGTAGTCCTTAGTGTACAGCACCTTCAGCTCCCCCAACAACTCCTGACTGGCCCAGGGGGGCAGTTCCAGCCCATAGGCTAGCATAGTCTCCACCGCCTCGTGTACTATCCTGCAACAACATCAGAATCGAAGTTGCCAGGCAATTTGTAACAAGAGACAGTTCGTAATTTGGCGTTCGGCTTCGCTCTTTTGCGCTTGTTCGGCTTCGCTTTTTTGCGCTTTCATTCAATTTGAGTGGTTTTCTGCACCAAGCAGACTCAATGATCCCATATATCCCCGCAGCTTGGTAAAAAAGATTGAACTTCGTTTTTACGGCTCTTTTCCAGTTCTTCCTTTAATTTTGGGCTCTTTTCCGGTCCCTCCCTTTCCAAATAGGGCGTTTTATGTTTGTTTTACGTGTTATTACGGCTAGATGTTACGCTGTAAAGTATGAAGAACAAATTTGTTCACAGTTGTCGATTTGTTCACCACGCCAAATTTCATTGCATTATGACAACGTTAGAACTAAAGCTTTTCAAAATTGAATTTGAAAAGTGGGAGAACTGGAAAAGAGCCGAAATGTTACTAGTTTTTTGCAGTAACAGAAGCAGGAGTGATCTAGGATTTTCTCTCGGGGGGGGGGGGCGGATTTTCAAAAACTTAGTCTTTTTCAGGTCGACCAAATTGATTTTCTGAGCTCTCCGAAAGCACTAAAAAGACCCGCGTATCGGCCAAATTTTCTGTGCCGCAGGCAAAAATTTGAAAAACAGGCCAAAACAGGCCAAAACAGGCCAAAATTGCGTTTTTTGGCGCGCGCTCCCCCCTCAAAATTAGTATATACCCGGGTTGACCAAAGTTGCTAGTCATACAGTTTTCATATATGAAAAAATGCTAATCATACACTTTTCATGCAATTCCATAAGTAGAGAAAATTGCATGAAAAGTCTATGATTAGTATTTTTTCATATATGGAAATTGTATGACTAGCGTTTTTCCATAAACCAAAACTTTTGATTTTTTACATTTTAAAATCTCAAAGTTTTATGGTTGTGTTCGTAACCGAACACAAATATCATAAACCTTGGTTACACAAACGTAGTTGGCGACTTCAGAAATTTTATAGGATCCATCGCAAGTGGTCGAAACCATGGGGTGGGGGATGAAGAATCGTCCGCCCCCGAACCCCCCTAAAACCTTCCCTGAATGAAAGTGTTCAATGCTTTTTGACCCGTATCGAAACGAAAGACGGAGACCAACTCTGCTTATTCATAAAATCTCTTGCCACGAAACATGAATACGGAATTACAAAATAGGAGGATATAGTTAAACACTATTGCACTTGACTTAAAAAGTCACATAAGATTTCCCCAGCTCAGTACGTTTCTAGTTGTGTCTCATATCTACTTCACGCCAGGATTCACCTTTGAACTTTACACTTTTCTTTCAACTCACTGATCGAAACACGTACCCAGAAAATGCTCTATTTCAGATCTGAAATAGGTTGTGAAATGTTAAAATATCGTTTGGATTCTTTAGGAATGGGTTATTTCAGATCTAATTTCGGATCTGATGTTTTGTTTTTCATGGTCATTTCAGATCTGAAATAAAATTATTTCAGATTTAATTTCAGATCTGAAAGATCAATGATTTTGACACAATTTTGCTATTCTTCTGTATTTTATAGCTTCTGCTAGCTGCTAGAAGGTACTCAAAAAGTCTTCTTTTGGAGACTGCTGAAATATATTTCCCAAAGCATGAGATAACTATCCTAAAGGCATAAGTAGCGCATGAAAATTAAAATTTTGATCGGTGTTTGAATAACTAAATTTTGATAGGTGTTCTAATGAATAATAAATTTTAGTTTAAAAAAAACAGTTTGTTTAATTATTCGTCAATGAAAGAAGTGAAAACATTTATTTCGGTATTAACTTTAAGCAGCCAGAGAATAATAAATTTAACTTAGCAAACAGGGGCTCTTCCTCGATTTTAACCTCGCAACAAAACTAGTAAAAACTAGATCTATTGAGACTAGGAAATATAAGAGTAAGATTAGGATCGGTATTAGACTAAGAAGTTGCACGAATCTTTTCGGCCGAAAATAAGGTAGCGTGACGAGCAGACGCTATACCCTATCCGAATTTACTCTATGAGAAGGCCACCCCGGAGCCAAACTCAGTAGTCTCACGGTCTGCTGGAGCATTGTTTCATAGTCCGAGTAAAATTGTCTACCCTTTATTATTGAGAACTGTCCGTTTTTATCTTGTTATACCAAACTTTGAAAATGAGAACTTTTCAAACACCACTTTCAATTCACGACACCGAAAGCGTAACCGAATTCAACAAGGTTATCATCTCATTTATTATCATGCCACTTAAAAATTAATGCTTCAATTGCTTATATATTTTTGTTTAAGTAAGCAAAAAATGAAGCAAATACTTATTTCTTTACAGGAAATCTTTTTTTTTCGTTTTAAAGGAATATCTCAAGAGTGTTAGGGATGAAATGTTTGTGGAGCTCAAAGAAAATTGGGACAGTTCAGAAAAAAAACTAGTTGAAGCTAACAACTGCCGAAATCCGCGGATTTTGTGGGATTCAATGCATCCGCAAACTGCGTTTTCCTATGGAGTCCAAAACAACATGGCTAAACATATATCTTTATTATTTTTAGCGTTCATCATTTTAAAATTGAAAGCTACAGAACAGAAAAAAAGTAATGAATTTGGACAAAACTTGTCTATGAACCTGTCTAATCAATGCGCGCACATACCAAAAACCCAAATGCAGCGACGTTAGTTAAACCAATTGGCTCTACAATTTTTCTAAAGTAGAGAAGGAATTCGTTAAATCTGAGTTGTTAGAAGAATTGCTAGCAACGCTAACAAACACTGACAGCTATCTCGCAAAATCAAACTAGAGAGGCTACGCTTTATATTCACAGTCAACACACGAACAGATGGTTACAGAGATCACGAATTTCAAAAAAAAATGTAGAGCGGCTCTACAATTTTTTTTTTTTGAAAATCGTGAACTTTGCAATCGTCTGTTCGTGTGTTGATTCTGAATATATTACGTCTGCGCCAATTGCCAAAAAACTAAGGGTCCATTGAAGTTAAATGCCCAAAATACTGAATGTTGTAGAGTGGATTTGAGAACTGGCCTGGCTTCGTTGAAGTTGGTCATTCTGAAGCCAGTGATTTTGGTGAGTTTCTCGAACAGACTCTGGTGGTCCTGGAAGGCTATGGTCCGCAGGGGTCCAATGGTCCTCCTGTTGATACTCCTCAACTTGTTGCAGTTTATCCACTCCTCTCTAAATACGCAGAAAAAGGTAACGTTTTTGATATAAAATTTTGGTTGTGCTCCAATGGTCGGGTATGTATTTTTTTATTTTCAAATAATTAAGCATTAAACAACCTGAGATGAATCGGATGAGCTTATTTCGAAACATGATGGGCCGTTTGTACGTCACGAAAATTAATTTTAAACTTTATATTCAATCTTTTTGTTCCGACTTTCGAAGAAAGTGGCGGAAAAATTGTGCTTTGGGTGGTTTTATTTTCTCAAGACAAATTGCGACTTTTTTACTAGCATTTTTTGATAATTTTTTCATATAATCCGAAAAGTATTGTTGTCTTGATATCAACTTTAAAAATATATTTCAACTTTGATTAAGTTATGCAAGTTTGAAGATATCCAATATGGTCAATTTCAGGATGTTAACACGCGATATATTTCTCGCTATTAACGCGTAAGAAGAGATTTAATTCGTCTTAGAAAACCTTCCAAAATGGTTCAAGCAAGCAGTTTTTCAAAAATTTTAGGTTACCACACGAAATTTATCACACTGCCCTTTGTATGGCGTATGGAGATGCATTTTAAAAAATCTAGAAAATTTTTTTCTTTTTTTTAAAAAATTTTTCAAGTTCTTTAACGCAAACACTGCTCCATAGAGCTTAAAAAGCAGTCGGAACGTTCAATGTCTTCTTCTGAATATTCCACTTTTCTTCCAGTGGTTTTTTCTTCAGAAAAGATTTGACTTTATAGCTAACCATTTAGAAGGATTCTTTAAATAATCTGAAAGTTTTCTAATCTGGGTTCAAATTGTCTGGGCTCAAGAAAATTTCCTCTGAAACCTTTTTGCAAAAAATTATGGGATTTTGAAACAAAATTATTTGCCTATAAGCGTTTATAGGGGGCGTAAGCGGTGAATTTAATCAATTCTAAAAGAATTGGGGCGAATAACTTGCTCTCATCAACCCGTTAAAATCAGATTTAAGAAAAAACCCACAATGCTACTTGTATATCAGGTCAAAGCCTTGACTCATGAAGCGACACCTCAAGAGAAAAACAACTGGCATTGAAATAGACAACTCGCACTAAAAAACAACTCGCAAAATAACCATCCTTGCAGCCACGCCAACGTGTTGCGTTCTTACCGTTAGAGAGTACACGCTCATACGAAGTTCAGAGCTGTTTATTGCCTCGAAGCGGTGATCGCGCCCACCGGTTTATACCAAAAATTATAAGTTCAAATTTATTTTTAAATTCTATTTTAATTAATTTTTTTTTTGCGGAATGTCGCAGCACCGTTACGGCTGCCCTCTATTGTCAATCACAAGCTTCTTGCTTAAATTTTTTTATTTAATTTGAATTTTTTTTGATTGTTTACGAAAACATTTAGTTCCTAATTCTATCCACCCACAAGCTACGTAAAGACCCAATTGATAGATAAATTGTATGAAAACGCGTTAAGAGCAGACTGTTTCCCTCAGTTCAGTTTGAAAGGTTGTATTTTCCCTGTTACGCTTTATCAGAACAAATTATATTGCGTCCTAACTATCCCCATTTCAATTACAGTGCTCAGAGTAGTTAAAATTTCAAACCATTAAAAGTTGTGAATACTAATTACTAGTGAAATTTTTTTTTTCATTTGAGCTGCAAAATATCTTTCAGATTGTGTGAAAACAAGCACAAATTGACAGAACAAAAAAGACAACCCAAGCACAATTTGGGATGCACTTTCTTCAAAAATTGCGGATGCACTTTTTTCAAAAATTAGAGCTAAAAATTGAAAACAATAATTTCAAAAACAAAAAGCGAATGAATTTTATAAATTGTTTCAACGAAAACTTTTACATCGGTTTGAAAGATCAGACAGAACATTCAAGGTTTTGCCTTGATAAGGGCGGTTTTGTTTTCCTTAGTCTCAATAGAGCTATAGGAAAAAACTATCTATCATACTATAATTAAGAACTAGTTAATACTAACCAAAAGGTCGGTGTGGAAATTTCCAATTGCAAGCAAGGATAACCGGTTATGTGCAATCAGCGCAGAATGTTCTGATCATAGTCTTAAAAATCCAAGAAACTTTTTTCCAAATCATTGTCGTTTTTTCTGCGTGGTGTGATAAAAGGATCTGATCAAAAAATAAGTTTTTAAGAATATTTTACAACCACAGTGAAATATACAATTTGAAAAAAAATCTTCATTTTTAGAGAAAATGACTAGAAAAACAAAAAAATAAAAAAAATGGAAGTTTTTTTTGAAGTTTTTGATTAGAAAAACGCGCTAAAATACCAAAACAAATAAAATACCAAAACAAAAAATTTTGAGGCTTAAATTAGGCTTTTGTAAGTTTTTTAGGCAATTGAATAAAGCTATTGTAAGCCTGCTGAAACATCATTTTTTTCGCTCAAAATTATACATGAGAAATCAAAAAATTTAAACCAATTCTGCATGGAAAACAAAAAAACAGAAAGGAAAGGAAAAAATTAAAACACACCCGAATACAACACTTTTTCCCACTTTTCAAATGATCGGAACAAATAGGGGTTATACGGATCATAATTGGCTGCTTTTGATGTCTTATCAAATACATTTTTTTGAAGTTTGAAAAAAACTAGAAGCAAACTAAACAAGGATAGCCGGTTACTGTGCAAGTAGTACAGAATGTTCCGACCATAGTCTTAAAAAAACAACCAAGTTTTTTCGAACCTTTGTCTTTTTTTAGCGTGGTGTGATAAAAAGAGCTGAAGAAAAACAACTAGGGATTAAGTATAGTCGACAGCCATACTAAAATAAGCAAATTGAAAAAAAAATTTTGTAGAAAAACTTCTATAAACACGAAAAAAAAATCAACAACAAATTAAACAAAAATCAAACAAAAGAGTTTTTGAAGTTTTTGAATTTTTGAAAAATCTGATTCCAAAAGGCGTAAAAGACTCAAAATAAAATAACGTTACCCAAGTAAAACTAAATTTTAACGTTTTAAATTAAATTATTTTAAGCTTTTAAACTATTGCTCGTTTGCTTTATTCGCTCGAACTAAGACAAAAATCCAAAACTTCAAACCAGTTTATTGAAAGTTTTTCAATGTTGTTCGAATCACGACTGAAAAAGTTTTAAGATGATATATCACTCGACCCTGTACGATGATTCTTTGTGGTGTACCTGGTTTTCCGTGGAAAACAAAAACAAAAAAAACTAAAACACACCCGAATACAAAGTTCTTCCCCATTTTCAATGGTCGAAACAATAAGAGTTCTAATCTGATGCAAACCAGGAGAAAGGTAGGGTGAATGCTTGACATACAAAAAAAATGTGGGATCACTTGGTCTGGTGCTTAATCGATCTAGCACTGACAAAATAGTCCAGATAAATAATTGTGCAACTGTATCAAAAATTTCAAAATCATGGGTTAAATCATATGAAGCTTTTAATTGAAGCCTTTTTACAAAAAACTATTACATCAGAGGCAGATATAAATTTTTCGCAAGTGTGAATGAGGGCTTCATTTTTTGTAACTTTTGTCCGGAAAAGTACAGACCAAAGACTTGAGTTTTCAGGCGTGACCTTCTTAGAGGTTTCAAATTGGGACCCTTATCAAAAATGGTTTCATTCGTTTTGACTTAAATTTTATTGACCAAAACACTTTGATTAACAAAAATTTTTATTGGCCTAAAAAGATCAACAGAAATGAACAGAACTAGAACAAAAACAAAACTGTTCCTATCACTTAAAACCCTGAACTAATTTACGAGATAAAAGTTGTGATCTGATCTCTTGACCTTGCACAATTTAACCTTGACATTATTAAAGATTTTCTCAGTAAGAAATGACAGCCCCACCTGTGCATGAATGTGGCTGTGGTGTCGAGGGGGAACATCTCGCAGGTGGGCTCCACCACCATTCCACTGCACATCTCGAAGTCCTCCTTCTTCCGGGGCAGGCCGTAGAACCCTGTCAAATAAACAAGCATCAACGACAGTGAAGTGTCAATGTCAATTAAACAATCTCCGCCTCTCAATTGAGAGGTCACACATTCGAGGTGTACGATGGTCCAGACTCTTTGCTTGACGGAGGTTCATTGTAAATAGCTTAGCAGCTCGTACGTTGGTAGCTTCCCTCGCGGATAAATCTTCTCAACAGCTGTTCCGAAGATTGTGTTAGCCGAGTCCCAAGTATTGTAATGCTTAACTGAATCTACTTTTTGGTTGACTGCCCTAAATGATACTTACAAGTTAGTTTGAAATGTTTCCAGATCTTTACCCAGTATAATCAGCATGTGATCCGTTTGGACAAAAGAGATCAGGCGACAACTGGGAAAAATTGACGTAGCTGCACATGTTTATAATTGGACAAAGTTATAACTGGACAAAGTTAAAACTGGACAACTTATATTCTAATCAAACCGATGCGTATTGGGAGCTTGCAAGTGCCGAGACACGAACAGTTTCTGAAAACGCCAGCTGTAGATGTCATTCGGGAAGTTGTTCCCCGTTGCCTTTTTTTCCAGTTGTCAGCACTACGCCGAGGATTTACGCCCAGGATAATTTTAGGGTACCACCCGTACTGAAATTTGTAGTTAAATTCAAGTCTGGACATCAAAAATACATACAAAATCCATATCTTTATCAGTCCTGTGGCATGTCTCTTTTTTGACTGTACATGTCTGAACAAGACATGTACCAGACATGATAATTACGAAAAAAAAATCAGATCTTGAGTCAGATATGATCAGACTTGAAGTAAACCTGGACCAGATATGTTCATGTCTGAAATTACTTGATCAGACCTGAAGCAGACATGATCATTCCTGATTTTACTTGAGCATACCTGGATCAGACATGACCATGCCTGAAATTACATTATCATACCTGACTTTACATGATCATACCTGGACCAGACATAATCATGCCTGAAATTACAAGATCAGGCCTGAAGCAGACATATCATGATGGTAGTGTAAGACCAGGACAATCCGTGAGTCAACTGAAGCAAGCTTCGGTGTTAAATGGAGAAGCAAAAAGCAGTTTTATATTAGTCAGGCAATGCCCTGCGTGTCAGATTTTAAGCTGACAAGAACATATGAAAAATTTAATTCCTCAGAATCAAAGTAAGCAAAAACAGGGGTTAATTTAAAAGGGCACTGAGAATAGTGGAGAATGAAAGTTTGAAATCATAGCAAGTTTGAAAATTTTAGTTTTTATTGAAGTTGATCAACATTTGAGATGTTTGAAACAACTAATAGCCTTCGGTGAAGATAAGTATTCGTAGGTCACAATCTAATGAGTTTGGGCGTTTCCGGTGATGTGATCAACTGCAAGGTTCAGTGCATGGTGGTCATTTTGGTTGGCCAATTTTCTCACAAGGGTGTTGCTCTTCCTTCTTGAGCTGAGCAGTCGTTCGAAAAGAGTTGGACTGGAACCAACCATTGACTGGAATGTGGTCGTTCAAAGATACTTGTAGGCTCTTTCCTCGGTCAACACGTGTACAAATTGGTCTCCGTTGATGAGTGGCATGGAGATGTTTGCGGCTCCGCATTTGCCATGGTTGAAGGTAAAACCCAGTGAATGGACGAAGTCAACTATTTTCTACAGAATCCCCTGTGCTTCGGATGCGTCCTCCAATACAGCTGCTAAGTCGTCCAAATAGCACAAGCAGGAAGAAGATGTCATCTCTTCACTCCTGACGACTGGATCCATTGAATAATAGGGCGCTGAGTGAACAGCCTTGCCTAACACCTCTCGAAACCTTCACTGGGTCAACCTCGACACATCTCATGGTTCAGTGTCTCTTGATCCAATTGACAGCGGCGGCCTTTCCCGTCTTTCTTTTTACACCAGGTGATTGCAAAAGGGTGAGTTTCAGCCTAGCACAATAAAGGAACCGCCAGTCGCAAAACTTGATGTGCAAACTGTATATCGCCTTAGTCGCTATAGGCGATGAGCTGAGGCTCTTCTATTTTGGCCTTGGTCTCGAGCCTCTAATAAGATTGCAAGACTTCTTTTTGTGAGAAGGGAGTGGAGCATTGGCCATGGGATTCGATAGCTCATATCTGCAAGTTGTGCAGTTCTAACTTGATGTTCAGTTTCAAGCACTTACGTATTCGTTGCAGGGCTAGAGAAGTTTCTTTAGCAATCTCCGAGAGTCCAGCTTTTTTAATGTGGTTTATTCCGCATACCACCTCTTCATCGGATGATCCATAGAGAAGCAACTTCCGGGTCAGCGTTCCCAGAGAGTCTTTGATATTAAAAGCGTTGACCAACGATTTCAGTGTCTTTTTTGCTTTTGTCAGGACCAAGTCAGGAAGTCGAGGTTCTCCGTAAAACGGTTCAAGTTCATGTACGCCGTAGTTGCATTCTCGGGTAGACAATGGATGCTTTGGGCATCTTTCGCAGTGATCGGTTCATCATATGGAGTTGGTTCTGTTTGGTATATGAGTTCTCTAGCAATTGGTATAACATTGGAGTGATCTTAGTCCTGAGAACATGTAACTTTTGCATAGGCGAGAGCTGAGAATCTTCTATTAGCAGTGCTAATCCCAAGCTCTCTCGAAGCAGGACTCGAGTCCTCCAACCATTGACTGGAATGTGGTCGTTCAAAGATACTTGTAGGCTCTTTCCTCGGTCAACACGTGTACAAATTGGTCTCCGTTGATGAGTGGCACGGAGATGTTTGCGGCTCCGCATTTGCCATGGTTGAAGGTAAAACCCAGTGAACGGACGAAGTCAACTATTTTCTACAGAATCCCCTGTGCTTCGGATGCGTCCTCCAATACAGCTGCTAAGTCGTCCAAATAGCACAAGCAGGAAGAAGATGTCATCTCTTCACTCCTGACGACTGGATCCATTGAATAATAGGGCGCTGAGTGAACAGCCTTGCCTAACACCTCTCGAAACCTTCACTGGGTCACAGAGTGTAATGCGTGATAGGTCGGTAGGCTGCGTAGCACAATCTGTGTAAACGGACTGTATGATTCGTATAATCGAATCTGAGCAGTGGCTTTGTCGGAGAGCTTCGGAAATGGTTGAGTGTTGCACACTGTTAAAGGCATCGCTAAGGTCAAGAGAGAGGACAACTTGCTTGGAGCGTTAGGACTCAGCTACGATGAGCGTGTTCTGCATGACGCCTTTTCTGGAAAAAAAAGCTCGCTTCCTGTCGGAGATGCGATTGTTCCTCTCGAGTCTTGAGTAGACTTTCGTAATTCCTTCACCTATCAAGCATTGCCTCTGAAGCTGCTAACTGGTGCAATCCGGACATAAAGGCTGACACGAAACGTTTTAATTGAGCCAAATTAGCGTAGGTCAACCCAACGGGGTCAGGAGCAGATGATGCATGATCAAGGGCTGCTTTTACTTCTTGTTCGGAGAAGGGTCGTGACAGTGCTTCTCTGTTTGTCCAGCATTGCTTCCACATGGGGGTTATAACTGGTTTTGAGCAAAATTGGACAGTTATTCTGGGTTAACTTTGCACAGAATTGTTTAGTGCCCCTCACTGAACTCTATGGCCCTCTTTATGTTGGTGCAGTACAGTTTTTGGACCTCTGCCGCGAAGAGCGTACTATGCATAGAAGACTGTTTTCTCGACTTCTTGGATTTTGCGAGAATGAGCAAATCCAGCCATTGATCTGCGTTGAAGTTTTCGTCCACTTTATCGGGGAATTCGTAGCGCTGGTCAAGGTCGTGGGAGTTGATTTAGCGTGTAATTTGCGGTGGTGGGGGACTTCATCAGGGCATTACTAGTCTTGATTCGTGCACGAGGGGTCCCTGGAGTTGGATATTTGCGGGGGTGGGCGTCTCGGAGCCGGTTGCTGAGATCCTCGCATGGATGAAGATAAAGACCAGCCGTCCTGTTCAATTGTAGGGGCTACTTTGCATTGACGGTTGTGGCTGCTCAAGGCTTTTTGCGTGGCAAATGCTTAGTTACAGGAACTGCATGGGTAGGTTTTGATTTCAAATAACGGTTCCTTGAAGTGAGTCCCCTCATGCGTTGTCGCCTTTCTTCGATCTGGAAAGGCTTCTTGCAGAATTTGCATTTCAAACGAAGTTTATCCAGATCTATATAATGTCGTAGCTCGGCGGATGATATCGCGTTTAAAAGACGTTTGCTTGATGGCTGCATCGCAATCGCTGCAGCTCAGGAGCCAAATCGTGGGAAATAGCACTCGGGCAATTGCACCGCTAAATGTGAGCATGGATGTAGTTTAAAACAAAATCGACAGTTAAGGTCTAAAAGGTGTAACTCGAAGATAAGAAAGCTGAAAAAAGATCAATCATTAATTCAAGTTATTTCTCAACTGAGCATAAACTATGCGAAGCTTATTCCCAGTTCTGTATAGTATACCCAAAGAAATACAACTTGTTAAATGCGTTCTAAGAAGGGAAATTGGAAGCGGAATACCACACACTACTAGTTAACGTAACTTCTCTTTTCAAACGTAACGTAACATCGGTAGCGAAGTCTTTAAACTGACAAAGGAAATTGACATCGATATAGCAACATAATCTTAGCCGAAAGTATCTTAGCCAACGCCAAATTCAACTTGCTAAAATTCAACTTGCTTGATCTTAGCCAAAAGGCCGAGAAGCGATAATAACTGAAAGAAACGATATTTTTCTACATGCCTCAGACACAACAAAGAAACAACAGCTCTACTTTCAATAAAACTTTCAAACTATCCGACTGGATTGGGAGCTATTTTGCTCCCGAAACAGTTCAGACAAGATCAAGGTAAATAGTAAAAATAGGCAGTCATTATGATTCTTTGCCTCATAAAAATACCCTGCCGTCTTGTAACTCTATCGTAAAACTACAGTGGACTACATTATAACAATCTGCGTTTCTGAAGTTACATGGCGCTAAACTTTTTTACTTGATCAGACCTGAAGCTGATATAGTCATGTCTGACCACGTATAGTTATGTCTGACCAGGTATAGTCATATCTGACCAGGTTTAGTCATGTCTGACCAGGGTATAGTCTTGTCTGACCAGATATAGTCATGTCTGACCAAGTATAGTCATGTCTGACCAGGTATAGTCATGTCTGACCAGGGTATAGTCATGTCTGACCAGGTATAGTCAGGTCTGACCAGGTATAGTCAAGTCTGACCAGGTGTGAAACAGATATGCACAGAGATGGAAAACAGCTAGTGTCTGAAAATTGTACGATCAGACGTGAAATTGTGAGAAAAGTTCGGTACAGCCAATATTTCAATATTTTTTTTGTTGTTTTTGAAGTTATCTCTCAAAAAAATTAAAATAAATACTTTCATATCTAGTGCTTAGAAGTTCCGATTTGATTATCACGATAGCTCACACACTTGTTGCTCAGTTATAGTTTGACAATGTCTTCGATTTTGTAGTCATCTTTCATAGGCCAGAGGCTCGTAAGTATTCAGCCAATAAACGTCCTTTGAAGTGTCCAAAACAACGATTTTTCTGCTGAATTACTTTTTTATTTTTGAAAAATGATTTTTTATCATAATTTTTGGACATGAGGGACTAGTACGAAATTTTAACAATAATTGAAATGAAACTGAGAAGAGCAAAAATTCTGAGAATTGTGATATTAAAATCATAGTTTCTTCTAACAAATGTAAATTATTGTCGTTTATATTTTTTTGAGAAACACATTTTAAAAATTGACATACAATTATGGTTCGAATAGCAGCTGGGTTTTGACCTTGATCGTGCCAAAAATAAACGCACGTGGTTTTTTCTAAAGTTTAGCGTTTTTTTTTAAACTTTGGGGGCCGTCCTTAGAATCTGACCAGTTGAAATTAATTGCTGTGGCTCCATTTTTTCAGTTACATAATAGCTCGGTGTTGTTCCCTGAGTAGAAAACATTACAAAAAATCAATTTTTTGTAATCATTTTGTGAACTGTAGTTCATTTCTTGGGACGGCTCGTGTGAAGTAAAAATTTGTAAGAGAGGAGTAGCTGCATTGTTTTTGTAGGTTTCAAAATCGGAAATCTGTTAAACATGCAATTGCATCTCATTTTCAGAAGTTTTCCATGCCATTTTATCTTGATGATAAATCCACGGTTCCCTTGCTCCTCATTTGAAGCTATATACAGTTAATTTAGCTTTGGTACAAAAGAACAGACACTAATCTCTCATTTGAAACGCATTCAGCCTTCCACTCACCGGCCATGGTGTTGTGTGCTGCCAGTTGTGCCCTGGATCTGGGGGTGGAGAGTAGGTCGATCTCCTGGGGGTCAAAGATGTCAGACATGAAGTCCCTGTAGTGTCTCCTCAAAGTCACCCCCAACTTGTAGTGCTGCAGGGATCCCACAGGGGTCAACTTCTCCGGAACCCCAAGGCTGCAAACCATTAGGCTCTTTTCAACCCCCCCCTTACATCACGCATTCAGCCATATTAGCAGGTAAAGTAAAACAGCAATGCTTTTACAATTTTTAAAAGGTGGGGGAGGGAGAAGAAAAGAGCCAACCGTCATTGTGGCTTGGATATTTTTAATATTTTCTAAAACTAATATAGAATTCGTTTTATGACTTTTTGCTTATCATAATTGTGAACCTTTGTAATTTTCCCACATTTTGCTGGACAAAACTTCCGGGGTTCGTACTTATTTGCATTGTCTATTAATCAATTCAAGATTGAGTAGTTTGGGGGTGACCAATGAGTGCCATGAAAAGAGCAATTCAGATGATGGGTTGGAAAATTTCCAGGGGCTCATCAGACCTCAATTGTCCCGCAAAACTTCCTGATCAACTGAGACTTTTCCATTATTTGAGTTTGGCCACCAAATTTCATATCGTAACTTGTAAAAGGGGTGAGGGGAGGGGGGTGGTTGGGACGCCGGACACTTAAGTTTCTCTAAAGACACCTTCGACTTCCGATAATACGATTCATTATAAATGGCAGCGCGCGCCATAAAAATTTTGTTGGTCAATACTTTTCAAAAAAACGGCTGCTTTTTCAAACAAAAATTGTGGTCCAAAACGTATCTGCAGAAAAGGGTGTTTTGAGGCGCCCGGAAAATCATTTTGGTTATCCCAAATACTATATCGACGAACTTTTCGCCCCTACTTGAAAGAATTCAACATGCAACCGAAGCCTCTGAACTCAATCAAGTCCTTTTTGTTTTATTTTGCAATGTCACGGCCTTATTGCAATGGATGCAGCCATGTGATATGGGAACTCACGTGATCCATTTGTCGGTGAAGGGGTCGTTGGGAAGGAGCACCCCAGGGGTGGCTGTCCCGTGGCGCACCAGACCTGTCGCGTAGATCAGTCGAAGGTCACTAGTCTCCGCCTCGAACTCACAAGAACACAAGAGCGACAGCAGAGTCACTGAAATGGCCACGAACAAACGAGACCTCAGTCGCAACTCAATTGTCATATCAAACTCTTAATTGATTTCCCTTTTCCCATAAAATTGAGAGAAGTTTGGTGATTCAATAAAGTAAAGCAATGAACTTAACTGATAATTCAGTTCAATTTTAATGGCCACTTTCAAGATGCTTTGTAAAAGTTATGTATTTTTATTTTGATTTTTAAAGATTTTTAAGATTTTATATGAAAACAGCTTTGAGCGTTACAAAGCGTCGATTGGGTTCAAATTAATTAAAAAGAAGCTTTTAATAGCATCACCCACTTATAAACTGGCTTATCTCTCTAATTAATCAAACCGCTCAGTCTTATCAATTAACCAAACCTTCATTTCAAAGGATTCTCTAGATTTGGTGATGAGCTTGGATGAATTAGAATCGCTTTCCAGAAACTTTGTTTCCTGTCAGATGGGGTTAATCACCAAAATAATCTTCTTGCAACTTGACTTGCGGGTTGTGCTATTTTCTTGGGTGGACTTACATGGCGTCATGTATCTTATATGGGTTAATCCAGAGCAACACTTACTTAGCCAACAGAACAAAACTGGCAAGGATTTTAGAAAAACAAATAGTCCAAGGTAGCTTTATTATTTAAACGCCTAACATGTATCTGTGAAGCGCACACACAATTCAGGCAATTTAAAATAAAGACAACTTAATTAAAAGTATACAGACAATTCAGCCAGATGCAACATGGCCAGTTTTTCAAAAAGCTAGATTCGAAAAAAAAGTTGGAGTTATTTCTCGTCTTAAGGTCGACGGTGTGCGAGAACTGTCTCTAAATTTTGTATGTAGTACTGCCCTCTGTTGGCAAGGTCGCAACAGGTTGGCGCGACTGCGCTTATTGGCTGAATTGTCTCTGGGTTGAATTGTCTGCATATTTTTGGCTGAATTGTCTTTGGCCGAATTTTCTGGACGCTGATTGTACATTGAACGCATCGAACTCTTTACAAAATATTTCTTTGTCTCTAATTTATAAAGGGCTCATTCAATCCATCATAGCAGAATTCTGACCAAGGATAAACTGAAACATTATATCAGAAAGGTTTTTAGATTAATTAGAGCTAACGTATTTTCAAAAAATCTCTAGCAGATTTTGCTTGGATATGCAATTTCGGTAACTTTTGTCATTTCATGTGTGGTATTTTGCTTGGACTTGAATCAATTTTCTATGCAATCAAATAACTGATAATTTTCATTTAATTATTGTTTTTTCAGTTTTTTATATATCTGTCTTCCCGGGTCGAGATCCCGCTCAAAAACCGCTCAAGATATGGGCGGTTTGAGCGGTTTTCCAGTAAGATTTGAGCGGTTTGAGCGGTTTGGACGGTTTGGGCGTCTTTTTTAGAAAAACCGCTCAAACCGCTCAAATCTTGCTTAAAAAACCGCTCAAAAACCGCTCATTTCTTGCAGTGATTTTTGAACGGTTTTTCAAGCAAAATTTGAGCGATTTTTAAGCGGTTTTTGAGTGGTCTTATAAAATAACCGATTAAAACCAACAAAAAGGCCTGGAAAGGTAATGTGACGCTAAGAAGCAGTTGAAATACTACCAGGGTTGACCTCCATAAACCGAAAATGCTTATCTTACTTTTCCCCCACACCGAAAATGCTTATCTTAAAATTTCCTACATCCAATGTATGGAAAAATGCTAATCATACAATTTTCATACAATTTCAGATAATGAAGAGTTTGAGGTTCCAACCTCTAAAACCCTCTGATTTTTCTGTTGGTTCTCTTCTCTGTTCAGAGATGCACGTCTTATGGGTAACTTTAAACGACGCTAATTGAGCCTCATTTGAGTTTTCAAAAAATGCTTATCTTACAATTTCCATATGTGAAAAAATGCTTATCGTACAATTTCCATATATGAAAAAAATGCTTATCTTACAATTTCCAATAATGATAAAATGCTTATTTTACAATTTCCATATCTGAAAAAATGTTTATCCTACAATTTCCATATATGAAAAAATGTTTATCCTACAATTTCCATATATGAAAAAATGTTTATCCTACAATTTCCGTATATGAAAAAATGCTTATCCTAAAGTTTTTTTTACAATTTTCTGAGTCTATGAAACTGTAGGAAATTGTAGGATAAGCATTTTTTCATATATGGAAATTGTAAGATAAGCATTTTTGGTCAACCCGGGTATCTACAATTTAAAAAAAGTGCGTAACCGTTCTCAACTCAAGCAAGATTTCTTCGATGTCTTGACCAAAAACAATGTGAGCGACTTTCAAATACTCGAGCAAAATAACCACTTGAAAATATTTAAGTATCTATGTATGTATGTATGTGTGTATAGATGTATGTACGTATCTTTGTATATATCTATGAGCAATTTTTTTTAATTATATATAAAAAAACGCTCAAAAAACCGCTCAAGATTTGAGCGGTTTGAGCGGTTTTTTTAGACAAAAACACGCTCAAAATATTGCTTCTAAATGAGCTGTTTGAGCGGTTTTTGAACGGTTTATATTAAAAAACCGCTCAAAAACCGCGCAAGATTTGAACGGTTTTGAGCGGTTTATCTAAAAAAAAAAAACGCTCAAAAACCGCGCAAGATTTGAGCGGTTTTTGAGCGGTTTTTCTAAATAAAACGCTCAAATCTTGCGCGGTTTTTGAGCGGTTCTTTTTAGATAAACCGCTCAAAACCGTTCAAATCTTGCGCGGTCTTTTTAGATAAACCGTCCAAAAACCGCTCAAAACGTTTATTTTGAAGCAAGATTTTGAGCGTAGTTGTCTAAAAAAAACGCTCAAACTGCTCAAATCTTACTTCAAATCAGGTGAAAAATCTTGATTCGGGTTGAGTTACCAATACAAGTTTGGATATTTGTAAGGTTCGAAGATTCTGACTCTTGTTCCTTAAACTTAAGAGAATTTTCTATCACGGAAACGTTGAATTGTTAGATTTGCTCATTTTGATTTGCGCATTTGTTAGATTTGCGCTCCAAGTAAAGGTTCATATATCAAGAGTTGTAGCTACACAGTTAATAATAGACCAAAAGCTCGTCTTTACTACAGATCGCCTCCAGACCATTCGGCCAAAGAATATTCAGCCAAAAGTATGCAGACAAAATCAATCAGAGACAATTCAGCCGAAAAGATTAACCGCCTCAAACTTAAAAAAGCAAGTCTGCTTGTATCAGGATGAAGTTCTGAATGTTCCGACTGCCTGTTAGCTTCTATGGAGCAGTAATAAAATGAAAAAAAAAATAGATGAATAAAAATAAAATGAAAATAAAATTTTTGATATGAGTTTTCTTGTAAAAGCATCCCCCTACACGCCATATAAAGTACAAAGAGATAGTTTTCACTCTTGTTAAGAAATTAATCATCACAAAGAAGCTTCCTTCAACCAATTTGGAGCGGTTTGTAAGACGGATCAAATCTCCGCAGACGCGATAATCGCGCGAATTATATCGCGCGCTAATTGTCCCAAATTGGCAATTTTGGCTATCTTTAAGCCCCCATAACGTTACAAAAACTGATCACAGGTGAAGCATCCAAATTTAAGCTCAAGACAACAATACCTTTCGAATGATATAATAAAATTCCGCCAAAAATGTCAGTTAAAAAGTCTGAATTTGTCTGAACAAAAAACTACCCCGAGCACAAATATTCCGTTACTTTCGTTAAGAAAGTCGGAACAACAATGCAAAATAAAACGAAACTAAGAAAAATTTAGAGCAAACCAATTTTTTCTGCTTTTTTTTCTGTGAATTGTAATAATTTCCACGTTGCTTTCAAACATCAAAACTTCTAAGCAAAGATGCATGGCCAATGCGGAGTCCTATTAAAATTAGGTATTTATTTGCCGCAAAAACTGTTACATCAGTTCAAATATTTATGATTCTGTGAATTACATTTCTTTCAACCATTTCTTTCAACCAAGTATATATTTTTATTTTTTAAAAAAAGAACTGTAAATATTTTTTGTCTGAAAAATTAAAAAAAAAATAGTTACGACTTTATTTGGCTCAGTTAAAATTTGAACCGCTTAAAGCGATATGCGTAAAAATTATTAACACTTCTGCCAAAATCATTAGCTTATGACACACAAGCAATCACTATGAAAAATGATTTTTTAACACATAAAAGGAAACATCAGAAACTCAAAAAAGATGTTTGAAAATATTAATCGCCAGAGCTGATGTGCGTGGTCGTTAAATGAGATCAAAACTGTTTTAACAAGAGCAAAATACTTGGTAATCAAAAGTTCAAATTTCAAATAAGGTACAGTATTTCAAAAACGCTTCTTCTGTATAGGTCTTTTTCAAAACTTTGAAGCCAGTGCTTCGAAAATTGTTTTTAATTGATTCGGATCTAAGTTGAAATTTTTTGTTTCAATTTTTTTTGGGTTTCATTTTTCAACCTGCAAAATAGGCCTGCTTTGTTTGCTGCTGCATGAGCTAACTTTGGTGTCTGCGGTCTAAAACTGGAATATACCGAGGGAACAGGCAAAGGACCTGTTTCAAGACAGCGAGACTGTCGTAACATCGCGGGACACACCTGCTGGTGGGGGACTCAACCTAGCAATAAAGCGAGCAAAGCCGAATCTCGGGGGTCCAAAGACAGTGGGACCGAAAACGCAAGAGCAGGTGGCGTTAAACCCGGTAAGGGAATCGCGGGATAAAAGAGATCAAACGCTTAAACCCAAAAGTAAAGAAAAAAAGAAAGCTGCTGTAACAGCAGAAGAAGTCACTGATCCAGGACAAACAGATGTGGATCAAGCTGATCGTCCAGGCGGCAGTTCGAGCACCAAAACTGGACAGTCTAGGAAGCGCATAACATGGGACGCGTCACCTAGCTCAATCTTGAATGCGTTCCAAAAACAAGATATGGGAGACGAAGAATGGCAAAGCCTCGCCGATCAAGTGTTGACTAGAGGTCTGCAAAGAACGGCGGACGAAATAATTAAATCCAGAACGGAAAATCAAACAGAAACGACAGGCGAACACGGATCTCCGCCAGGAATTTCGGACGACTCAGTCGTAGACGATCAAGGAAGTGCGAGCGTCAGGCGTAGTAAGCGAACCACGAAAAACCAGGGGCCTAAAAGACTGGGCAGCCCAGTCAAACATTCGGTTAAATACAATAGCGCGGACGAAGATGCAGACACGAAGATGCAGTCGGACTGGCGAATGTCAAAACAGACACGAACAATCCGATGGAAACCCGACTGAAGCTTTTAGAACGCCATTTATTTCGGAAGAAGTTTGGTTATGCCGCTCTGGAT